TTGTCAGTATCGAAGTAGTGGTTATGCATCGGATAGCCCATGAATTTGATTTCCAACGATTTTTTGACGATCGAAATCTGATCGGAGTGTATTGCTGCATGGTTTGGCGCTGCTAAATGGAGAGGAAGGAGAAATCTTGTAAAATTATAATTTTATCCCGACTTTTGACAGTCAACAAACAGTCAAATTAATACAGAGGACTAAATTGGGTAAGAATTGTATAGTTGAGGACTAAATTGGGTAAGAATTGTATAGTTGAGGACTTAATTGAGTAAAAGTTACATAGTTGAGGACTTAATTGGGTAAGAATGGTAGTTGAGGACCAAATTGGTAATTATGGCATAGTCGAGGGACCATTTTGGGTATTAACTCTATATATAATGTTCTCAAGTTTTCTTCTTGTATTTGTATTTTTAGCATGCATTTACCTGACTTACTATATATCCTAAATTTGTATTTTGGCTATATAAATATGGATCCTAAGTTTTCTTCATGGATCGTTTTAGACGTCACAGAGGTAAGAACCAGGAAGTATCATATTACATTTTTTTTTAAATGAGTATTAGATATTTATTCGTAAGTATTATCATATCAAATTCAATTTTTTTTTTTTTTAAAAAAAACAAATTAAACTCAATCCAACCCGATTATATTTAGATTAATGTTACACACTCCTTTTAAGATTTTTCTCATTATGTCTATTCCTGACGTGACACAATCTAATTTGTTACTTTAGTATAATTAAAATATGTGGGTCATTCAATTCATGAACCCAAAGATTATAAGCCACGTCATAATGCCAAGAAAATTACATAAATAAAATAAATATTTTTTACGAGGAAAACTCGCATCTAGTATCTAAAGTGTACACAAGTAATACACCAAAAAAAAAAAAAAAAAACAATGCACACTAAGTGGAAGTGACATTGGCCTTTTTTATTTGAGCGGATCGGACCAAATAATGACAATCTAAGTTGGTTTACCTTGTTGTGGTCATTTGTTGGCTAAAGTCACAAGACGAGATTTACCCAATAAATATCCTTAAATAATAATTGTGAGTTTCCCTCATTACCAAAAAAACTAAAAAACTGTTATAATTTGGCCTTCTGATTAGCTCATTTTCGCGTGATAATTGTACAGTAATGCTTCAATTGTATGTATGAACAATATTACAAATGGAAGAGTAGAGAGAAAAATATATATAACACAAGAATGTAGAATTCAAGAACACAAGCTCATCACTTCATTATGCCTTGAACATGTATATATATACATCTATATAACCCTTCATTTTCTATAACATAAATAATGAACTAAACCCGCATGGACAGCTCAACTGGTCACAGATGTGAAAGTTTAGAAGAATGATCAGGGATTGAGTCTCACTAGCCACAGTGTGGGAGCAACCTCTAGCCTCTGTGGTTCATGTTCAGTTGAGTTACCATGATTTACATCCTCCCAAATGCTCTGTCGGGTAGGGGTGTGGGGGCCCTTAGGGTTGGGGCCTTCATTTTCTATAAATATAAATAATGAACTTATTATAGAAACTAATGAATAAGTTAAGAATAAATAGTTAACGGAGTATTCCGTTACTAAAGTTTATTCTAACGGAATGCAATGTTATTTAATGAAAGAAAATAATATAATAGAGAGTAAATAAGGAAAATCATAAAAAAAAAATACTAAAATCAAAATAATATAAACCATTCGTTTCAACAAACAATTACACCAACAATTTTGTTGTTCCCGTCAAGCGCCTAATTAACTTTATTAGTTCTTATTAGATTTGTAGATTTGTAAATAGTAGATGTTGGTTTTAGGGTTTTTTGGGGCCAGGGAGGTACAACACAACCTTAGTTGGTGGATTCACCTTTCATAATAAGGCTACTAAAATAGAAGAAATATGACACCGAAAGGTGAAAACCACAGGCCTTTTTTGGCGGTGCCAAGCCTAAATTTGTATTTCGTAGGTGTCTTTGTACATGTTATATGGCTACTTTGTATATAGAAATATTGTGTAGGGAAAAAGCTATACTTTGCACATTGAGAGGGAGTCATCTTCAGGCGTGGAAGAGTGGTGGAGTCTTCTCATATGGAGTCTTCTTCATGTGGTCTTCTTGCTTAGATGAGTGGAGAGTGGTTGTGGAAGAGTGCATTCTCTTTGGGAGAGTGATGGAGTCTTCTTGGGGATGAAAGAATAGTGAGTGGTAGGATAGTACTTGGGAGAGTCCTCCCACATGTAGATGAATGAACGACCCCCCTCCTTGTGCTCTTCTTCTCCTTCGTATAGCTAGCTCATCCAAAAGTGTCCGTTGAGGGGTAATTAGTAGGCTTTATGATGGCTTAATTTGGGTAGTAAGTAGGTTTATTTGGGGGTTATGGATAATAATAATAATAATTAGGTAATTAACTAGTGGTAATAAGTGGGGTAATAATAGGGTAGTAAATAGGTTTCATGGGTTAACGGCTAGTTTAAGCCGACCTTCTACCCGTGCCGACTTTCGGGTCGAGCCGACTCCTCAGTTTGGCTCGTATCTCTTTTGGACTTTTCCTCTTCTGGACTTGGCCATTTCTCCTCTTGGGCATTTCTTCTTCTTCTTGGGCTTCTCTTCTTCTGGGCTTGATCCCTTTTTTTCTTGGGCCCCGAGCCCACGGGGTTCATACCCAATCAGTAGATTACTAATTAATATACAATATTATATTACGTATAGGGTTGATCATATAATTATTAAAATAAAAATTTAAAAATTAAAAATACTCCAGACAAATAAGAAGATTCAACAAAATAGGGAATCTAATCAAAAATATTCATAATAAATAAGAAGAATACTAAGCAAAAGTTTTGTTTGGTAAAATCTGAAAAGCTTAAAATAATAGTTTATTTTCAAATGTTCTTTCAAGTAGCGTTTCAAAATAAGTTATAAGTTTTTTATATTTTTTTTTTATCTTTATTAATTTACAAAAATAGCACAATTTATCATTCTTTAATCAAAACTCTCATATCTAATTTTTTTTCTAATATCTAAATTTTCTTAATATTTAATTTTCCTAATATCAAATTGATGTTATTATGGCCACATTTCCATTGCATAATTACATCCTGAAGAAATTACAAGATGACATGAGATCACAAGATTTTAGTTCTACTAGCACTGGCAATTAAAATTTAAGTGAGTCATCAACTAGTGAGATGAAGAATATTCGCAATAATATTGATACTTTATTATATTATGTGATGCTAGATCATAAATAATGCGATATATATTTAGGCTTTAAATTGCAACATATATCACTATTTAAATTTAAACTTATAAATTTATAAAAATATCATTTTATGTCTTTTTACACTTATCATCTTATTCAATAGCTAATTTTACCAAATACCTTATTTGCAACCATTTAACTTATTAGCTACTAATTTTTCAGTTTCAACTACTAACTTCTTAACTTTTAGCTAGTTTTTCAACTAGGTGTGCCAAACAGTATAATAAACAAAACAGGAATGTAGATACATGACCATTATTAGCACAAATATCCTTAGAATGAGTAGAAAATATTAGACAGCAATAATAGCATCAGTGCATCACTTCTTTTATTTTATATATATTAAATATTAATCACTATTGATGGGATATTGGGTATGGGATAGAGACCAGGTAGGCTAAAGTTATTGGGCTAGGAGTACAGGGGGTACAGGGGGGGTTTTTTGGGCCGGGGCAGGACGCCGCGGGGTGGCCGGCGCCGGCCGGAGGGCCCACCGGTTGGAGCGCGGCCAACGCGTCGGGAGCGCGGCTGGGCGCGGGCCTATAGCTCCGGTGCGAGGGCACGGAGGCGGTAGCCGCTGGCGCCCACGGCCAGGGCGAGTCGACGGATGAGGCGCTGGCCCCAGCCGGCGATGCCGCGCCCGGCGCCCCCATCGCGGGGGGCGCGGTTTACAGCGTCGGGCCGGTGGGTTGCCCGGGGTGCGGGGTGGGTGCGCGGGCAGGGTGTGCAGGGTGCGTATAGGGGGCGCAGGAGTTTCGGGCGCATGGTGGACGTGCGGATTGGTGTACGGAAAAGGGGGGGAGTGGCGTCTAAGCACGTGAGACACGTGGATGTCTGGAAGGGGAGGGGGCAGGCTATAAATAGGGGTCCCGGATTCCTAGCAAGGGGCAACTAAAACACAAGAGGCACTATGGTCTAGTGGTCTTGATCTCATATTCTCCATCCAATCGCTTGGGTTCGATTCCTACCAGTAGCATAGCTAGCTATAGTCCACCCCGTGGGCTTTGTTCTTTGTATTTGGGCCGGTGTTTTGGGCCTGTACCTTAGCTCTGTACCCGATTTATGATGAACTCGGTCTCAATAAAACCATCAACTATAAACTTTTAAACTAAACAATAATATAATTAATACATACAAACATATATATATTTATAATAAAAATTTTATGATGAAAAAGTTATAAAGGCAAGAGCATGAACTTATTGGGGTTGATAACTCTTATTTTTCATATATTAGGGTCTTTTTTTTCTTTTCACTATACTCTTGAGTACGTCTTGACCTATATATATTTTTCTGAAAGTCAAAAAAACGTATTATATTAATGTAGGAAAACATCCAGAAACGGAGGTGGAACATCCCTCCAAATAGTCTGTGCGGAACTCGCACTTACATCCTTAGCTAAGGTGTGGGCAGCCCGATTGACTTCACTGCTAACAAATTTAAAATGACAAGATAAAAATAGATTTGCTAACTGAAGACAAAAAGATAAAACGAGACCAACATAAGAACCAAACAAATTATCCTTGAAGAGATTATATATATATAATAATAGAAAATGCAAGGTAAAACATATCTCAACCACAATTTAATTCCTGGTAATATAACATTTCTGATCTGAATAATCTCAGTTTCCTCGTCAACTGTAGGTTGTTAGTTATATTATGTGTGGCTCTGCTAATTGTATAAATAGGGCCGGGTTTGCAGTATTGCACATTTCAATCAACCCATCCCTTGAATATAAAAAAAATATATATATATATACAGAAAAGAATAAAATGTTGGGTGTTAATGGCATCATCGCTTCCATTCTCTTCCTGGCTTTTGTGGTGGCTGCCGGTGGCGGGTCGTCTGCCCCGAGTGATACCCAGGAGACCTGCGACGCGAAGAGCCAGGAGAGCGACGGTGGTCCCAAGATTCAGATTAAGACACGCGAGGCGATTTCGTTGGACGGAATAGCCGAGGCGATTTCTAAGTCGGGGCATTTGAGGGAGTCGGTGAAAGCCATTTGCGCCTCAACGGATTTCAAGAATCTGTGCGCGAAGAGCCTGGCGGAAGCCAAGAACTCTAACGACCCCAAGGATCTTGTCAAGGCGGCGTTCACGGTGGCGTGGGAGAACATCACCGACGCCATCGGCAAGTCCGCGCTTCTCAGGAGGGCGGCGAAGGATCCCAGAACCAACCAGGCACTCGACATCTGCAAGGAGGTGCTGGACCACTCCATCGACGATCTCAAGAGGTCTTTTGGGGTGGTGGAAGGATCTAAGACCATCAACACCGAACACAGTAACGACCTCAAGGTGTGGCTCAGCGCCGCCATCACGTTCGAGAACACCTGCCTGGATGCCTTCGAGAACACCACCGGTTCCACCGGCGAGAAAATGAAGGTCCTCCTTAAAACCTCCATAGAGCTCACCAGCAACGCCCTGGCTATGGTCACCCAGCTCTCCGAGCTCATCAAGACCTTGGAAATCCCCGGTTTTAGTCGGAGATTGTTAGATGACTCCAAACCGGTAAATGCGAGTGGAAAACCAGTAAACTCCACTGATGAAGAATTTCCTCAATTCGTTGACGCTTCCACCCGCCGCCTCCTCGCGGCTCCCCCCGTTAAACCCGACATCGTGGTTGCCAAGGACGGGAGTGGGAAATTTAAAACCATCTCGGCCGCTCTCGCCTCCATCCCGCCTATAAACAACAAAACTACTATCATCCTCGTCAAGGCCGGCGTGTACGCCGAATACGTGACTGTTCCCAGGAAGATGAACAACATTGTTTTAATGGGGGAGGACCCGACCAAAACCGTGATCACCGGGAACAAGAATAACATAGATGGGGTAGCCACTTATAAGAGCGCGACCCTGACGGTGGAAGGGGACGGTTTCGTCGGCCGGGACCTCACAATCGAGAACAAAGCCGGCGCGGCCAAGCACCAAGCGGTGGCCCTCCGGGTCTCAGCGGACATGGTCGCGATCCACAACTGCCACATCGAGGCCTTCCAAGACACCCTCTACACCCACTCCTACCGCCAATTCTACCGCGACTGCACCATCTCCGGCACCATCGACTTCATCTTCGGGGACGGGTCCGCCGTCCTCCAGGGGTGCAAGATGGTGGTGAGGAAGCCAGAGGCGAACCAGGCATGCATGGTGACGGCGCAAGGGAGAAAGGACCGGCGGGGAGTGAGCGGGATCGTGATCCAAGCCAGCCAGATCATCCCCGACCCGGCCCTCAAGACCGCCCAGCCACCCGTCAAAGTGTTCCTCGGGAGGCCATGGAAGGAGTTCTCCAGGACAATCATCATGAGCACTTTCATTGACGGGATCGTCGTCCCAGAAGGTTGGTCGCCATGGATGGGCACCGCCGGACTGGATACGTGCTGGTACGCAGAGTATCAAAACCGCGGCCCAGGAGCTTCACTGGTTAAAAGGGTTAACTGGAAGGGTTACAAGAGGAACATTTCTCCAGAGATTGCGAAGGAGTTCACTGCTGGAGTGTTCATTGAGCTTGATACATGGATCAAGCGCGCTGGTATCCCCTACGCATCTGGATTTATGAATTAAGATCATATTAATTTAATTCCTACTAAGTACGTAAACGTACTTATAAATAAATAAAGTTTAATTTTATTAGTCCGTTGTAATATTGCCGGTAGGGTACGGTTACGCCAATTTTGTTTTGTTCCTAGCTCTCATCATTGTGTTTTTTTTTGGGAAAATGGCACTTTTTCCCTTGAGTTACGTTATATACTTATAGCATTTTTTTCACTTGAATTATTCATGTAAGCACATTAGGCACCTCAATTATTTTAAAAGTAGCAGTTTTATCCAATATATTAAATTGATATTTGTATCCTTAATGTAAATATTTTACTTATTTTTCCTCTCTAACAAATTATTGCGTATACGTAGGGATGGCTATGGTTCGTTTATTTGGATTTCAATTTATTAAAATTAATTCCGGATCCGATTCGCGATTTTGAACCGTCTTTATTTGAATCGGCCGTTTCGGTTCGCGATTTTAATAAACTCTAAATATCGAGTTTTGAGTTTAAATTGTAATTGGAATATTGTGATTTGGTTGTTATAGTGTGTTTGGTTTGAACCAAATTGTGATCATAAAAAAAATAATAATAAATGACATATTTATTTGAAGGATAAATATGTCCATTCAGGAGAAAAAACAGCTATTTGAATAATTCAGGAGAAGCATATAGGGGGAAAGTGCTATTTTCCTTTATTTTTTATTACAAAAACCAATTATAAAACCATTTTTTTTCTCTCATCATTATGTCTTACTCTCTTGTTTTCTTTTTTTGTTTTTTTTTTTTTTTTTTTGTACTTGAAGCTTAGTTATCATAATTACATCTTATGATGAGCTAATATATATATATATATATATATATATATATATATATATATATATATATATATATATATATATATATATGATTGCTAATATAATGGTTCTTCTATATAAATTGCATTTTGTATACACTGAAAATGCCATTATTCTCATATTTTATTTAATACGTACAGTCATAGAGATGAACTAAAAAATATAACTCACCAAGAAAGATATAATTATGGCACAAGTGTCAAATAAGCCCATCTACTATTTCATAGTGTTCAATTCTCACCTCGAACTAAATTAAGTGCCAAATAGATCCATCTACTAACTAAATTTGTTCAAATAATTTTTTTTACAGATTGCTAACAGGTTGCCTATTCAATTATATATATATATATATATATATATATATATATATATATATATATATATGTAATAAATAAAAATTCAGCCACCAGTTGTCCTTGCCGGACAGCTGGTGGCTGGAATTTTATTTTATTTTATTTATTATTATTATATATTATATTTTTTAATAATTGAATAGGCAACCTGTTAGCAACCTGTAAAAAAAGTCAATTGAACAAATTTAGCTGGTAGATGGACCTATTTGTCACTTAATTTAGTTTGTGGTGAGAATTGAGCACTTCGCAGTAGTAGATGGGCCTATTTGACATTTATGCCTATAATTATTTATGATTGAATCAAAGTGATGCCATTATATTCTAAATAAAATTAACAACTTTTAGTATCTCTATCAATTAATTGATACACAGTTGATGAAAACATGACCTTGTGGTATGCCGTTATGCTATGGACCCGTGTTCAGCATACATTGTGGACACGGTAACGGTGCTGTAAGTGGCACCTTTATTTTTCACCAATTTTTTTTTTTAATTTCAGACCGCTTCTTTTCTGATGATAAAGCATCCATTTTCGGGAGCTTCCTGTCGATCAAGCTTCTGTTTCATCTTCACACAAAAGCTCTCTTCAACGCTCATTCTCCCATTTTCATAATTATAGGACCATATGTTCATAATTTTATCACTGGAAAAATTTCAATTTTGGTCGGGCATTGTTAATTTTAGCACCTGACTTTTAAAATTGTCAATTTAATACGTTGACTATGTAATTTTTTTCAATTTTAATCACTCCGGCCAAATCGACGGTCAAATTTGGCCGGAAAAATTTAATCCAACATTTAGTCTATAATCTGAGGAGAAAGGATCAACGGACCATTTTGCCCCTCAGATTATAGACTAAGTGTTGGATTAAATTTTTCCGGTCAAATTTGACCGTCAATTTGGCCAGAGTGACTAAAATTGACAAAAATTACATAGTCAAGGTACTAAATTGACACTTTTGAAAGTCAGGTGTTGAAATTAACAATGCCACTATAGTCATGTGACCAAAATTGAACATTCATAATTCCATAAATGTACATTCATAATTCCATAACTGTACATTCATAATTGCATAACTGTACATTCATAATTTCATAACTGTACATTCATAAGTCCACAAACGGCAACAACAAGACAAAATAATTTTTTTTTAATTAAAATGCCATCGTTTTCCCTAAAAACGAAGTCGTTTTGGACTCGTGTCCACAATGCATAGTGGACACGAGTCCACAGCATAATTTGCATGTGGCATGTGGACACACATGAGAATGAATATTGAGGGATTTGAATCAAAAAGATAAAGGCATTATATTACCACCCACTATGCCCTAGAAAATGGTTATCTCCATAACCATAAGTGGGAAATTTGTCTTTCTTGGACCACATCCAAATCTTGGAGACAGAAAAGCTTTCCCCTTTATAACTTCTCATCTTAATCTTCTCACCACCATCATCCTCACCTGTAAAATTCCCATTCTGCCCTCCACCATCCAACCCATCACTCAAGCCCACTTGTAGATCTGAATCAGAAACCACATACTGATAATAACCCATTGAATAACACCTTCTTGAACCCAAATTCCCTTCATCACTTGTCTCCCCTAATTCCACATCTTGATTTTCAATATTATTTGTTCCACTTGTGCCCCTGAACTTGCCAAGCCTCACTGAAAACACCCTCTTTTCACCGGCAACAGAAGGGGCAGTGGAGTCATTTTCTGATGCACTGAAAACTCCATCTCCCTCTCTGGACCCATCCAAACAAAACCCTGGGTTTTGGGCTCCAATGCAAACCCCATCAGGTGTTAAAAGATTGCCTCTGCAAAGGGGGCAAGTTGTACTTGACAGCAACCATGTGTCAATACAATCAATGTGGAAAGCATGGGTGCAGAAAGGCAACAACCTTAATCTATCATGGTCTGAGAATTCACAGAGACAGACAGCACAATCAAACGGCTGCTCCGAACCCATGATGTCCTTGTAACAAAACACAGGGAGGCAATCAATCAAGGCTTGATCTAGACCTGAATCATGGAGCTGAAAGAGGTGCTGTAGATGTAGTCTTTGAAAAGAGCCAGAATTGGGAATTTCTGGGCTTCTGTTAGATAGGGAAGAAAGGGATGAAGAAGAAGAAGAAGAAGTGTGTTTCATGACAAACCTAACCAGCAAGGTGAGAAGACCAGAGATGAAGAATATCACAGCTAGTATTACTATGATGGAAACAAGAGAATGATGGCTCCAAAAAAACATCATTTTTTTTCTGGATTTGAGATTGGGTCCAAGGGATGTTAGGCAGGCATAGTAAAAGACCATTACTATCTTGTTTACTTTGCTCAATTCTAACTACAGAATCATATCAAACAGTGTAATATATACTTTGATATCCTAGGCATAATAAGCATTCCTATTATGCCTAGGATAAGAAAAGAAGGGGGGCTAAGCTAAGAAGTTATTCAAAGTAGAAGTGCGTTAAGTTGAAATGAAGTATTGGTTAAGGACGGTACTTGTTCCAACTGCCAGTAACTTACAAAAGAACAGGTCAACGCCGAAACAAGGGTGTCTTAAAGAATATAAGAAAAGATATGGTAAAAACATGGGCATGGTAAAAGTAATGGAAAAGATAACAAAAATTATAATGGTAAGGGTATTTTTGTTCAAAAAATTGTATAGTATAACTCTAAAAGCACAATGTACAAAATAGTTAGCATTAAAAACATGGACATAAATGAGGGATTATGTTTTTAGATATGGACTGTAATGATGATATTCTAATTTTGGTAAAGATGATGTTACCTCATTCAAAAAGAACTGTTGATGAGTAATCCACTGCATGCAAAATTAAGTTTTTGATGACAACCAGGGCATTCCCCTGTACTTTATGATAAATCTAAATGTACTATTCTAATTTTACCATCCAAAAAACACAGAATATTGTGCATTTCTGCTCTCTCTATTTCAAACAGGATATCCAAGGCAGATCACTCAAATCGCCCTATCTTGTTAGTAATGATAGACTGCCTCGAAAATCCTCAGCTCTTAGGACTAGATGCAATAGCCCCGTTCACTATATTAGTAATGCTTTCTATGTTCTTGGCCAATTCAGCAGCGGCGCCAATATATGTATGGGGTGTTAGGTTCAAAAGAGTAGTCTTTGCATTTACTGGTATTTCCAGACCTTCAATGAACTCTCTAATGCGTTCTTTGGTGACGGTTCTCCCCCGGGTTAGCTCCTTTAGTTTCTCATAAGGCTCTGGGACATTATATCTCCGCATCACCTACAATAACACATACTTCACAATTATTTTCTTGAGGAATCTTGTAATATCTCATCAATGAGAAGCAAACTCTACTTGAAACATGGAGTACTAAGTTGTTTACACGAAAAAGAGGAAAACTAAACAAACATAAAAGGAGTGGTTTGGTTTCTTTTGGCAATATGGCGCAAAACTTACAACATAGTTACCAAAATCTAAAATTATCAAGTTCCGCACAATAGAGAATGACTAGAACATATAGGTTAAGATAAGACTTAAGAGAATAAGTTACATACCGTTTGTATAGGTTCAGCAAGAACCTCCCATGATTGGTTCAAGTCTTCTGCCAAAGCAGCTTCATTGACCTAGATAGAGCAACTTAAGTCATCAACTTGGAAAGCGATAAGAAACATATGAAAATCAATACACAGCAATTGCTGATGGAGCCTTATAAGACGGGATACATATCAACCACTAAACTAAAAACTGAATTTGAAGTGATGCACCAAGTGAACTTGACCACCTCACACCACAGTCCTAGCTATCAAAATAAAAAAGATTTAACCCCTACAATTCGAACACCCTCAAGCCAAAAAAATTGAATTTGAAAATTAGAATAAACACATATAATAACTATGGCACTTTGTTCCGAGGGAAATGCAGTCTAGAACTTCAATCTTGATGCATTGAGATGGTAAAAAAAGATGGTCACTTCTGACAAGTACATATACCAAAACTAATATACAGGTACACAAATTCATATTCATTAAAATTGTTAATCCTAACTACAGTTTTGAGTTTTGATTTTAACTCTTTTTCTATTACCTTCTTACTAAGTTTTCCACCTTTCAATAAAAGGTCAATTACTAATTACAAACTCACCCCTCTGTAAGCAACGTCATTGACCAAGAATGAAACGAACTTTAAACCATCACAATATTCAAACAGCAACACAATAACAATGGTACAGTATCTTTTACCTGAAGCTTCGAAATTCCCTTTAATGCACTTCTATAAGCAAGAAGTGAATGCCCCAATCCTACTCCCATGTTTCTCAGCACAGTAGAATCTGTCAAGTCCCTCTGGAAAATCAAAAGGATATAGCAAGCATAGTTATAGGAGGAACCAAAGACAAACCTAAGTGAACCAATGCAATAATACAAGAGCTTGAGCTTTAGATAACAGATAGGTTAAAGGTTTTAGAATAACAGACATCATTACAAAAATGACTCCAAATATTTTTTTTTAAATATATTTGATAATTACATATTTGAGAGAAACTTTGGTCCCTCAAATATATATGCTTTAGGAGAATAGCAACTTTGGTCCACCATTTTTAGGGTTGACCACTTTCACTATAACCACAAAAAGTGGGTGCATACCTGCCACCGAGAAATAGGTAGCTTTGTGCCCAGATGTGATAGACCTGCATTAGCTACTCCAAGATTGCCTTCACTGTTCTCAAAATCGATGGGATTCACTTTGTGAGGCATTGTTGAAGATCCAATTTCACCAGCTTTGGTTATCTGCTAAAAGTTTGAGATGGTTATCACTTTTTTAGATTGTTAAATAATAGTACCATAGCATCAAAGTAAACAGGGGACAAACCTGTTTGAAGAATCGCAAAGAAATGTATCCCCAGATGTCTCTATTAAAATCAATTAAAATGTTGTTGAACTGGATAATAGAATGAAAAAGTTTGGCCATATAGTCATGGGTTTCAATCTGCATTGTTAAAGAATAGTGGAGTTAACCAAAACATAAAGTTCACCTGTAGTCACATTATTTTGGCAACAATCACTTGAAACTAGACAGAGTAAACCAAACATCAACACCAGCACGGCAGCACATAATCTGATATAAATGTTTCAAAAGATGTAATAAAGAAATAAATTTAATAAAATATATTAAATATTCTTGGTAAAGGGCAAAGGTAATACATAAAGCCAATGATAAATTGCAAGATCTAGGGAGAGTAGCATCAACAAATTCAATGCCTTTTACCCCTGCTTTTGCATATAGGCTCTTTCAGTAACTTGAACTGTTACACCTATTTCAGTATTTCACCACTAGCAAACTTAGCACTGTCTCAAGGTTCACTTTCAATGGACAAATAGTATATAAAATGATTACTATGCATAAACATAATGACTTTTCATTTCCATTTTTAACGGGGTAAGCATAAAATTTGGGCTTTATATAGCAGTCAAGTGCTCAAACATTGATTAATCAGTCACAGGTTCAAGCCCTGAAAATGACTTTTTCATCTAGAAACAGATGTAGTGTAATGTATTATGCAGCTTCCTTCTCCAAATCTCGTATGATAGGGAGCCTTGTATCACTTAGTCAAACATCTATATCTATACATCTGCTATATATAAAAAGTGGCTTAATGTGTTCCTTTTGTGACGACTGATATAACCAAAGCAAATCATTAGACAGCCTGTCTAACCCAAGAGAAAGCATCCTGGTTTTATTAGAGGCAATGTTTAATACAACATACATGTGACTAGTATAATATAATAGGATAAGCATACTGATGATCCACTATAAAATGATTAGACATGCATGACAGGTTTATGTATGCCATGCACTTATGGCAGTTCTCAAATAGCAAGCAGCAAGCTTATCTCCATACTGACAAGATAATAAAACAATGCCCAATAAGGTCATAGAAGATACCTGAGGCACATAAGGATTGAAGCTTAACCCAAGAGATGTTACAAACTCCTCTGCAATTTGTGGCCAGTTTATATCAGGATATGCAACTAGATGTGCATTGTAGTTTCCAACTGCACCAGCAAACTTCCCTCGCATCTCAATTTTTGAAATATCCTGCCTCTCAGTATGTAACCTATATGCAAAAATAGCCATTTCCTTGCCTAGTGTTGTTGGCGAAGCTGGCTACAAAATACTAGATTAGAACCTCTTTCATGATATAGAAACATTTTCTCATATAGCCCCTAAGGAATCATACCCAAGAGATTAAAAATAAAAAATAAAAACCAAACAAAAAAACTAAAGACAATTGTTCATCACTTTTCCAAAATGAGTACAGAATATCAAGTTTAGGATTTTTTATTTTTTTTGGACAAATAAACAAAATATTGGAAATATAAAAATGGATGTGCACACAAGTCTTTACCTGCCCATGGGTGCGAGAAAGCATGGGAACATGAGCATTCTTTGTGGCCATGTTAGTTATCGCTGTAATAATCTCATCCATGACTGGTAGTATAACACTGTTAATAGCTTCTTTCAACATTAACGCATGTGCTAGATTGTTGATGTCCTCAGACGTGCAGGCAAAATGGAAAAACTCAAGAACCTAGATATAAATACAATGACAACCATATTTCAGCTCACATGAAGATGCAATTTATACAAAATTATATAAATCCTTTTAACCATTTATACTGCAAGGCTACAAAACAGAGTCATTGACAGCCATGTAGGGAAAGTATCAATGCTTGCTGGAATTTCACAGTAATACTTTTGGAATCTAGAAAAATAAAAATTAGAATACCAATGTAGTATTTATGAAGTAAGTAGACAGTGGTATGTCAGAAATTATATAATTCACTTAGCCATTTATACTGCAAGGTTACAAAGCATTGTGTCATTGACAGATAAGTAGTAAAAGTATCAATGGTTGCTGGAATTTCAGTAAGAAGATAACAACATTTACAAAAGCAAGAAAATTAAGAAAAATACTGCAACATTTATGAAAACAAGAAGTAAACAGCTTAATAAACCTTAGATATCTCTTCATGTGATTGGCATTTTTGTTTTAGGAAGTACTCCACAGCTTTAACATCATGGTTAGTTACTTTCTCAATTTCCTTAACTTCTATGGCATCACTACAGCTAAACCCATCAATCAAGCCTTGCAGATAAGACTTTGCTCCTTGAGTAAAATCAGGAACCTCAGAGATTTCAGGAATCTGTGAAAGCTTCAACAACCACTTAACCTGATAAAAAAAAATTTAAAAAATAAAATAAAAAAATAAAAAGATAAGCACATGTTTCATACAGAGAAGT